GCGGTCAATGAAAACTTCCCTCAGAAAATGAAGTTTAAGTAATTCTGAGGTGATTTCAGTGACCGACTGCTGTCTTTCCTCTGAGGACATGCTAGCAGGCAAATCAATGCCACAGAAAGTTAATTTACAAAGATTTTTCATCTGGCCCAAAAAAGGGGCAAACTGAGCAAATGCGAAGATTTTTCCAGCCAAAATCCACATCCACTTCATGCACATATTCTAGGTTCAGCATTCCCAGGACCTCTGTGATGTCAACATCTGCGACACTAATGTGCACACTTGGACAATCCAGCTGCACCAGAGCCTCCTTCTCCTGGACCCATTGGAGAAGGAAGGACATCAATGGATCCACAGGTTCAAAATCAAACCACAAGTCTACAATGACTTTGAGGCTCCTCTTGTTTGGTAGCCTTGGCCCAGTCTTCCCTGTTCTGCTCCATTTTATGGAGTAGTCTTCCAACTTGCTTTCAGCCCAGACTCTCCAGAAGTCCTGGTGCATGGCCTGCATATCCAGCACTTGCAGTTTCAACCTCCTGCGGATGAACCAGTAATGAGTCTGAAAATTTAGGCCGGGACCCAGTTTCCTCCTGTGACTTCCTCATCTCTGAGTTCAGTTGCTATCTTCTCTCCTCTATCTGTGCTGAAGATTTCTGCTTCTCCCTTCTCCCTTGGGTCTAGCCCAGTCCCTACTCCTGGTGCCTGTGGGAAGAGTCAGGAACTTCTTGTTGCTGTTACTACTGCCTCTATCATTAGCTGTCCTCCCTATCAGGCAGTGCACTCCACGGTGCCTCAGAAAGGCCTAAGGCCTATCCAATCTGGAAGTCACCATCAGAAGCCTCTGCATCACCATTCTTTCCAGCACTCTCGCTGATACTTTCTGTCCCTTCCCAGAATCCTCTGGCCTTTTCTCTAAGATACCTCAGTTACACTTACCTGGAGCACACCTTCTGTTTCAGCAGCACATCAAGTCCGTGCAGCACAGCTTGCAACATCCTTTTCTGTGGCTGCAGAATATACTCATGAGTGTCCCAAACCCCTGGCCTGTCCATGCTCATCAGGGATCCCAGGGACAGGGAGAGAAAGGGCCAGGACTGCACCATGGCCTTCACAACATCTGTGTGTCTCTTGGTGAAGGCCTCCAGGAACACTGGTGGGAAGAGTTCCCTTGGTAAATATCCCAAGGCCTCAGTGACCAGGGCCTTGTCTCTTAGCAAGCTCTCAACTGCCAGTTCCAATAGTACACGTGGAGACCGAGTGTTCATGTTGGTCAGTGTGGAAGGCCAGGGGTCCTGGGAAACAAAGGGGAAAGACACATCCTTTCAGGCAAGGCTGGGCCATCTTTCTCACCGATGAGGAAACCAACCTTCAGTCAAAAGTCCCTGCTCTGGAAAGAGTAGAGTGCTCAGTTAATACCAAATCTACTTTGTGCTTATGGTTCCCATTGAGAATTGGGAACTAAGGAATCTGAAACTGACTCCCACTAGTTTAAGAAAATATTCTGATCCTCACTGCAAAGAAATATAACCAAGGAAATGAAAAAATCAGAGAGACCAATATCTTTTTTTTTTTTTGTATTTTAGGGAAGGATCTAGGGGGTATTCATGGTCTCACTATTATATCAGACTTGTAGTGATCTGCCTGTTTACAGCCTCCCAAGAGCTGGGATAACAGGATCAGGCCACCACACCCAGTTTCAATTGCTCTCTTAGAGTGCCTAGGGGCAGGGCCAGCATGGTAGGCCTGGGGATCGAACCCCTGGTCCCTGCAGCTGCTTGCATATGTCTTAATCAGCTGAGATATTTGGCCAGCCCTGTGTAGCGCAATATCTAACTTAGCATTTCCCACAGTGCACCTAACAAAAATTAAGCAGAGGCATGCTTTATTTTGAGACAAATTAAAAACCATCATTGCAAAAAGACTCATGTTTATCTCAATAATGAGGTAGCTTGTTTGCTTTAGGCACCATGCCAAGTGCCATCTACACACGTTTGACTGATTTCCTAGCTTAGTATCTCCCAACATGTTCCCATTTTTTCATTTTGTTTTGTCAGAAATGAGTGCTCCACTGCAGTTAGAGAAGCAGTATTTGTAGAAGTCTTTTTTTTTTTTTAAAGAGAACAATTTGTTATAATGAGCCAGAAATGGAAGATTCAACTGAAATTCCAACTGACAGATTATGGTTGAACTCAAATCTTTAAGGAAAAGCAGGTCAAATAAAGCCAGGAGAGAAGCCCAAACAAACATATTATTTACAGATAATGGATTTCAACACTGAGTAGCTCTAGAACCCTCTACCTTCAGCAGTTTGTCTGTCTTCACTCTCCTATTTCCTTTTCCTTCTACTGCATCTACCAAACCAACTGGCTTCTGCTTCTATGGTCTAGGCAGAAGCCAATTCACCCTCTTTGGACATGATACAAGGCCCAAGAAAGCTTTAAAATCTCACTTGGGGGACAAAGTACACAACTCAACTCAGCACATGGGTTATCATCTCTGCAGTATCAATAAACATGGTAGTAATTTTAAAGCAACTAAAAGTGCTACTCATAATGTGGCCCTGTAGCAAAAGCAGTGCTCCTACATTGGTTACACAGCAGAATGCATTTTTCACCAATATCTTCTCTTTTTTTAACCAGCAATCAAACTCAGAACCTCATGTTTGCAGGCAGGCACCATGCCTTTGTGCCATTCCCCCTGGCCCTGCTGAATGCATTTTTGAGCTCCACATCTTCCTGACACTAAGAGCCAAGTAAAGAGAATGTACAACAGAATTCCAACTCAGAAACCAAGGCACTGGGCAGGAACACTGGCTTTTTTTGGGACCTTCTGGTGGGGGCATAGAGACAAACACAAGGAACATTAGAATGTCAGAGGGTATGGCAGGCAAGAGAAAGCAGAGGTAGTAGGGTAAGTGTTCTACCCACAAGGCCAACACATTCATGTTCAAAGAGAAGTCTGGGTGAAGGGAATAAACAACAAAAAACATTCAACCAAACCAAAGGGAAAGGGGTTTTCATACAACACAGTATCAAAAGCAAAAGGAACACACAAAATGCACAAACTGGTGGCAGGTAACTCCACAGCCTGTTATGATAGGTCCTTCTTCCATCAACCAGGTTTCTTCTCTGTCATCCCAAGGTTATTTACAGATGTGGCAACTTTAACAAGAGTCTCTCACAGATGGGCAGGCAGGCAGGCAGGCAGGCAGGCAGGCAGGTTTAATTCATTGGTTCAGGATCTGTCTGTGCCAGGTCGGCATTCAACTCAGCATCCGGATGTCCTTTAGCTTTTGACATGTAGGCATCCAACTGGTTGTCCAGCTGCTCCTTGGTCAACACAGGGCGAGTAAGGGCACCTCTCCCCCATCCACGTCCTCATCCACGTCCTCCAAAGCCCCCTCTTCCCCGACCTATCATACCCTGAACTCTGCCACCGATTCCGCCACGACCCATAGCTCCACGCCCTAGGACCCCTCTCCCAGGACCTCCGTGACCTCGAACACCACCTCTTCTTAAGCCCATTTGGGGAGCTACAGCTCGTCCACCTCGAAGCAGGTTTTGACCTCGGAACGATATCCCGCCCCTAAGCAGGGTCCTGGTGGCACGTCCCCCACACAGTCCTCCTCTGGGCAAGTCTCTCCGGACTATGGGAAGGCCTCATCCTCCAATGGCTCCTCTGGCCAGAGCCCCTGTGGGTCGGCCTAACCGTGCCTGGATGTTACTCTTACCCAGGCGCTGCTTTAAGCTCTGCTTAAGTTTTAATGCTGCCGGGACAGAGGGTCTATTCTCCATCTGCTGGGCCAGTCTTCTGTTCCTGGCACTGGCTAGCTGCTGTTGTTGCTGCATCGAAGCCCGAATATTCACTGGCATCGGCTGTTTGTTCTTCAGCATATTAGTAAAGCGCTCATTTAGAGACATCTTGGTGGTGCTTTTTAGCACAACTTTGGGCGCTGACTGGGCAGCCATCTGCAAATCCCGAGGATCGAAGGAAACGGATGCTAGTGCTCCTCCCGGGGCTGCCACCATGGCTGCGGCAGGCGGGCCGGGGACCGGCCGAACCCAAGTGGACGATGGAGGGGCTCGGGCTGACTAGGTGGGCTGTTAGTTTGATGCGTAATTGGTAGATGGCGAGGTTCGCTCTTTAGGGCTCGGCTGCCTACTCGCTGGATGATCCGCCTGCTCTCCCGGCCTGCCTTTTCCTATTTTTCGTCTGTAACACCAGTTTGGAGGCTGTAGAAGTCTTTGAAGGACCTTTGCATACTTGAAGCCAGTGTAAAGAACATAGGTCCTGGAATTCAGAGAAATAATCCAACATAGTTCAATAGTCAATAATAGTGGTAGGTTATCAGAAAAATTGGCAATTGTCATATATCACAAAAGTATAAATAAAAGATAGTTCTATCAAGGCCTGGGAGATGGCTCAGTGGAATAAGCGCTTCTTTGGCAAGCGCAAGGGCCTGGGTTCAATACCCGGTTCCGCCACAAAAAGTGTTGTGGCTGGTGAGATGGCTCAGTGGTCTAAAGCGCCTACTTAGAACAAGCTTAGCAAAGCACAGGGACCGCGGTTCAATCCCCCAGCACCATATGCCAGCCAGCCGTGCCCCCTGGTGGGCTGAGCTGGCCACACACACAAATAAATAAATAAAAAATTTAAAAAAAAAGATAGTTCTATTGTGAAAAAAATACAAATCTGTATACATAGGAGAGTTAGCATAGATATACAGCTACTTTCTCTTAGTTCATTGAGAATAAAAGTTTGTACAATTATTTAGACAGCATATTATGTCCGCATCTTGTCCTCTGAATAACTTCCATGAAGGCAACAATATGCACTGTGTTGATTATTGCAACTGTCCTACTAACCTGATTTGAAAGTGTTTCATTGCTATTTTATCTTTTTTTTTCTCATTTAAATGAATAAAAAAGACCTATGTAGTCCTGACAATCTGTAGCTTTCAGATAGGTAGTTTAATTTCATAAAATAAGGTAGAGTTAAATGCCTATAAGTTGCCAGGTGGTTGGGCAACATGTTAATGATCTTAGTGCTGCAAGAAGAACAAAATGAAGAGCACAAGATATCTGCTCTTCTTTTACAAGTTGTGATTCAGAAATATTGGTGCCGAAGGTGAAGTACAGGGCCTCTTCCAATTAGCAGCAAGAAGAAATGAATAAAGCTCTTAGGCTGGCTATTTGCAAAGCCCCAATGAAAAACTAATTCCATAAAACTGATAGAATTTCTGTCATCAAATATATGTCAGGATCTAAGGAAAACTGCAAGAAAGACTGAGGACCTAAATATAGATTTTTTTTTTTTTCTTTCCTGAGACAGGCTCTTGCTACGCAGTCCAGCCTGGCCGTAAGCTCACTTTGTAGCCCAGGCTGCATTTCAATTCACAATGATACTCATGCGTCAGCCGCCCACGTGCTGAGATTACAGGACTGTTATACCGCACCTGGCCTAAAAATGTATCGAAAACTTACAGTGGAAATCAAACTATTTTATGTTATTTTGTTTTATTTTATTTATGTATTTGGTTGTTGCAGAATCTTACTACACAGCTTGGACTCATGGTGATCCTCCTGCTTTCAGCCTCCCCGTGCTGGGATTACAGGCCTGCAACACTATGCTCAGATGCTGGCCAGCTTGGCCCCGCCCTGGGGGAGGGGCTGGAATGGCACGTGGTACCAGGTACCTAGAACTGCATGTGCTTCTGGGGATCTAGCCATGATCTCTGCGCTTTGCCTAAGCTTGATTAGGCAGGTGTGTTAGTCTGCTGAGCTATCTTGCTGGCTCAAATCAAACTATTTTAAAAGACTAAACATTTAGGGGCTGGTGAGATGGCTCAATGGTCTGGAGCACCTACTTAGAACAAGCTTAGCAAAGCATCAGGGATGGTGGTTCGATCCCCCAGCACCACATGCCAGCCAGCCCCGCCCCCTGGTGGGCTGAGCTGGCCACACACACACACACACACACACACACACACACACACACACACAAATAAATAAATTTGTAAAAAAAGACTAAACATTTAAATTTTAAGTTAAAATTGAAACCTCATATCTATTCATTTGAGTCCACACAAAAGGGTATACTGATCACATACCGGAGCTGCAGGTCACAGGGGAGCCTGGCTGAGGGCAGACAGGATGACCATGTTTTGGTGAGGGCGTGGATTCACCAGGGCTGGATGAGGGGGCCAGATGCTCAGCCCCTCAGGAATCCAGTCAGCTTCTCCAGACTCCTGGTGGCTCCTCAGAGGCTTTAATTGACTCCTGATCCTGTCTCCCTTTTCAGATAGGGCTTTCCAATCCGTGTTGATGCTAAGCCTCCTCCCAGGTAATCCTCACTTCTCCTCAGCTTTCTCCAGGTTAATACAGAGATAGGATGAAAAGTCCGGTTTTGCAATTCAAGAAGCAAAAAGGACTTGACATTCTAGGATTCATACACTGATGGTCTCCAAATTGCTGTTGAGTTTTACTCACACGTGAGTGTCCTAGCAGATCAGTGTGTGAGAAAGCGCAGGCTGTTATCTGCTCCTAACACTGGCAGAAAGATACCCCACCTGAAAAGTTGTGGTTAGAGGATCTTTTATTTTTAAGATTTATTTATTTATTTATTTATTTGATACAGGGTCATGCTACACAAGTTGGCCTCATGGTGATCCTACCTTGGACTCCCCAGTGCTGGGATTATAGGTGATTGCCACCATGCTCCATTTAGTTGGATGGCTCGGCACAGGGCCGGCATGACATATGGTTCCAGGGATAGAACTCATGTCCTTCTGCTTGCCAGGCAGGCCCTTAGACTGCTGAGCTATCTCCTGCCTAGGGGATCTTTGAGAACATAAAAATGATCAAAATATTCCTGAGTTAGAACAGAGTGAAGTCAGTGATGTTGTCCTCAGCGTAAGCACAGCAGCAATCTCCATGGGCCCTGGAGCCTTGGGTGCTGTGCTTTCTGACAGCAGATTCTGTGCTCAGTCAGGGAGGAGAGGGACCACCTAGGGTGAGACTGATTTTCAAGATGTGGGATGAAAGCCAGGCTTGGTGGGACCTGTCTGTAATCCCTGCACTAGGGATGCTAGGTCAGAACAACCAACATGACTTTGAAGCCAGCCTGGTCTACAGAAGAGTTCAGGGCCAAACTGAATTACATTCTAGTTGAATGCTTGCTGGACAAGATTCCAAGACCTTGATTCAAAAGAACAGTACCAATCCCACAGTGTAAGCCTACATGTCTGTTTTTGGGTTTTTTGGTGGAACTGGGGATTGAACTGAGGCCCCTTGCACTTGCCAGGGAAGCACTTATTATTCCACTGAGCCATCTCCCCAGCCCCGAAGCCTACCTGTCTGAAAAAACAGAAGTCACAGAATCTTAAGTGCCACCTGAGACTTCTGTTCCTCCGGGACACTAGCTGAGCACAGGTTGGAGGCTCTCTCATGAAGGCCGGGTACTCACCAGGTGATGATTCAGATGACAGTGGACAGGCTCCAGAAATCCAGGAAGGACCAGCAGTTACTGGAAACTCGAGAAACAAACATCTCTTCCCCTGCTGCTCACCTTTTAATACCCTCCCCATTGGCCACACCTTACCCACCCAACTGCTCTGTTCCCAACACAATGGGAGCCTTGAATGGGTCTTTCTATCCCCACCCAGTTAATCCTGGTGATCCTCCTTCCTCAGCCTCTGGAGTGCTGGGATTACAGGCCTGTACACCACACCCAGCTCTTCATTAGAAATTTGCCTTAATGTAAAAGATAAAAAAAAAAGTGTGGTATGTAAGCCCATGCAAAGATAATCCCATGCACATGTACTGGGTTTAAACACTACTCATGGAAAAAAAAATAGGAAAAAAAAGCCCACAGTTGTGCTGTGACAGGGCTAAATGATAGAATTTCTTGGGTTACATCCCCATTCCAAACACATAGAGAAAGAAGAGTTCATTTGAGAAAAAATATTCTCTAGTCCAGGATACCATATGCATGAAGCACGATGTTCTGAGATCTGGACTGGGAAGGAGCACTGATCCACCTGGAAAGGGAGGGGAACTGGGGGGCGCTGCAGCTGTAGAACTTTTCACCGTTGCTCCTTCCCTGCATTTTTTTCTTCCTTCCTTCTTTCCTTCCATTTTTGCTCCCTCCCTCCCTCCCTTCCTTCCTTCTCCCCCCATTTCTTTTCATTCCTTGGAAAAGAAACCTTTATTGATCACGTATGGACCTTCTACAGTTTAGTCAAGTCTATGTTTTAGTTTGTTTTGAGACAAGGTCTTGCTTATGCCAGAATTTGTGTTCCAGTTGTGATCATCTTGCCTCAGTTGATAAGGTGCTGAGATTACAACAGTGAGTCAACACACCAAGCGACATCTTCTCTTGCATACTGGAACTGTTGGACAGGAAATTTTAATGCTCCTTCTTTGCCTGCCAGAGTATTGCGATTACACAGAAGGATCGCCATGCTCTGATTCCTTTGTAATTTTATTTACTTTTTAAATT